TCATTTTAAATTCACATACATTACGTAGCACCCACAAATGAGTTTCTCGTATCACATGGATGATTTTAGCCAAAGCCAGTCTGTGAGGGAGTGCGGATGGAATTAGCTCAAAGCTAAATCTGGCACTGTTACGCTTGATACATTGTAATGTTTTAAGTGTTCATCATTCTGTGCATTGTCCCTGCCAAATAAACGATTAAATAAATTGGCTCATCAACAGCACATTAAATAGCTATTGAGGAATGCGATTATATAAAGCTCCATGTCGTTGAAAATCAACCATATGACTTATTCACCAGAAATACTTTGATGAGCAGGTACTTGTTTCTTCTATAATGTGGCATTAGCCGTTCTCTCCTTACATATCAGAGTCATTTTCACTTTTCTTCATCTTCTGATCGTCTGATATGACAACTTGTGTTTGAATTGATTACACCTGAGACAACTAATTCTCTGACGTACGCTCTCAAAACCAGAAAATCGACCCAACCTCAAGCAAGCAAAAAGCACCATCCGGGCTGCATCGTTTGATCTAATGTCCTGGCACCGACTACAATCTGACCCTGCTGATTGTGCCGACGGTGAGCCAGCAGCAGTCGAGCGGTATGTACCGATACCCGAGACAGAGCTCTGTGCCGTGAGGGGAAATATAGGGGGATTAGACACAGTGAGACCGACAGTGAACAGATATCAGAGATCTGCTCAGGATTTAGTCTCAAGCAGGGAGCAGTGTTTTTGGATGGGATGGATGTTTGACACGAGTCGGAGGAGACGGAGATGAGATGACAGTGCGGTAGAAAAGGAGATGAGGGATGGAGGAGTGATCCTACCTTTCTTGACTTTCTTAGACGGCTGTTTCTTCTTGATGAACTTGGTGGCTTCCTGTTGAAGTTCCGGCTCCTCTCCGTCAGCAGACACCTCGGCAATGGGCTCAACACCTCCTGAAGAAAAGAAAAGGGGATGACATCAGACAGAATGTACTACATAAGCACAGTTTGAATACTACAATATAATGCCTTCTGCAGCTCGACTGGAGGAGGACGAGTTTTCATCGGATGGTCTATGACAGTTTACCAGGAATCTGCATTATTGCAAAGTTTAGCATGAGGACACATCTTGAATCTGCCTTTGCCAACAAGCACTCCTTTCACATGTCTGTAGATATCTCATGTACAAGTAGCTTTAACTAAAAGCCATTTCCCACACTCCTTTTTCAGGTCTTTCACATCTGACCTTTACATGTACGTGATTGTTCTTCTCTTGATGGGAATATATGAAAGAACATGACATGTATACATCCTGAACATGATATTTACAGACCTTGCACCCTTCATGTAATACTGTAAGCTGTGCCTTAAAGTGCATCCCTGCAGGTTTAACACAAAACGTTCCCTTCAAGATACATCACTGTCCTATTTAATAAAGGCCTTGGTACTTTGGCTGAGGACTCACATTGGGACAAACCATGCTTTCATGTCAAACGGGGGGTTTGGGTTTCATCAGTGCCCTTTTGTATCCTCTTCATCTTAATTACACCTTGTTTTCTATTTGGTTTGGCCATGTGTTCCAGTTTGCATCACTGTGACATGTCGGTTTGCTCAGTTAATAATAATAATAATACTACGGGTGTTACCTTGGTTGCTGATTGGCTAATGGTTGCACAAGCCAACACATCGTTATGACATCATAAAGTGGCCAAAATCTGATCAGCTCATTTTCAGACAGGTTTTTATAGAAATGGATCAGGACAAAAAGAGAGAGAATCTTTGTTCCTGAAACTTTCAGAGACTCTTTAACACAAGAGGGACACATGTTGATGAAGAAGACATGAAGAAGAGGGGACACTGTTGATGTAGAAGAGACATGAAGAAGAGGGGACACATGTTGATGTAGAAGAGACATGAAGAAGAGGGGACACATGTTGATGTAGAAGAGACATGAAGAAGAGGGGACACATGTTGATGTAGAAGAGACATGAAGAAGAGGGACACATGTTGATGAAAGAGACACATGAAGAAGAGGGACACTGTTGATGTAGAAGAGACATGAAGAAGAGGGGACACATGTTGATGTAGAAGAGACATGAAGAAGAGGGACACATGTTGATGTAGAAGAGACATGAAGAAGAGGGACCATGTTGATGTAGAAGAGACATGAAGAAGAGGGGACACATGTTGATGTAGAAGAGACATGAAGAAGAGGGACACATGTTTATGTAGAAGAGACATAAGAAGAGGGGACACATTTGATGTAGAAAGACATGAAGAAGAGGGGACACATGTTGATGTAGAAGACGTGAAGAAGAGGGGACACATGTTGATGTAGAAGAGACGAAGAAGAGGGGACACATGTTGATGTAGAAGAGACATGAAGAAGAGGGGACACATGTTGATGTAGAAGAGACATGAAGAAGAGGGGACACATGTTGATATAGAAGAGACATGAGAAGAGGGGACACATGTTGATGTAGAAGAGACATGAAGAAGAGGGGACACATGTTGATGTAGAAGACATGAAAGAGGGGACACATGTTGATGTAGAAGAGACGTGAAGAAGAGGGGACACATGTTGATGTAGAGGAGACATGAAAAGAGGGGACACATGTTGATGTAGAAGAGACATGAAGAAGAGGGGACACATGTTGATGTAGAGGAGACATGAAGAAGAGGGGACACATGTTGATGTAGAAGAGACATGAAGAAGAGGGGACACATGTGATGTAGAAGAGACATGAAGAAGAGGAGTTGCATACTAGGTGACCTTGAAACAACTCCTGTGTCCTGTAATGAGAGAGTCATTGAGATGTACATGAATGACATACATTTTAACAGAAAACAGTGAAAGTAAAACAGCTACATCCTAATAAATGTTTTAGCGGAGGAAAAGGCAGCCGCGGGATACCGTGTTGAACATGTGGTTTGCAAGTGTGTGTGTGTGTAAGCTCTCATGTGTGAGAGAGTGTGTGTGTGACCAAAATCCCTTTCAGAATCCCCTGGATCAGTCTGGATTTAGGGAGCTCCTGAGGCCCATGAATTGGACGCCTTGTCTCTCCTCCGTCCCACCTCTGTGTCCCCTCCTCATCCCCCTTTCCTCATTCCTTTCCTCCCCTCCTTATCCTCATTCCTCTCCTCCTTTTCTGTCTCCTCTTCCTTATTTTCTCTCCCCCTCTGCTCCCTCATCATCCTTTCCGTCCTCCCTCTCCTTCCCTGTGTTCTCCTCACCCACCTCGCCTCCTCTCTCCCCCATCCGTCTTTCCTTCCTTCCTTCCTTCCCTCCTTTCATCCCTCCTTTCTCCTAATTTCCTCTCCTCCCCCCGAGGATTGTGTCCAGTTTCACGGTACTTTCGTTTTAAAACATGCGCTACACACACATCGTGCCTTTGTGGCGTGTGTGTGTGCGCGAGTCACAGTGTGCGTGTGTGTCTGCCATCGTGTCTACCTTAAGGTGTCTGAGAATGTGTGTGTGTCTCCATCTCCCCCACGGCGTCTGCGTCTGTGTGTGTGTGTGTGTGTGTGTGTGTGTGTGTGTGTGTGTGTGTGTGTGTGTGTTGGTGGTGTGGTGTGTGTGTGTGTGTGTGTGTGTGTGTGTGTGTGGTGTATGTGTGTGTAGATTACCCTAAGGCCCTCTCTAATATTTATCCTGGCCTTCTCTAAAGCCAATCTTGTTCTCTTTGGTGAGAGCACAGCCTGTGGCTTCACCACACACACACCCACACACATACACACCACACACACACACTCACAGTTGTTTGAAATGGGATATGCCTCGCTCTTAATTGGGCAGGTGTTTTCTAAGGCCAGTTTTTTTACGCTGTCTTACAATTTCCACGGGGAATGTGTGGGTCTGTGTGTGTGTTTTATTAACCTCAGTCTTACATCAACATCAGGTAAGGAAATAGCCCACCTCTGGAGCAACTTACTCACATTTTCACACACACACACACACACACACACACACACACACACACACACACACACACACACACACACACCACACACACACACACACAACACACACACACACACACACACACACACATACACACAACACACACACACACACACACACACACACACACACAGTCTTACCGCTGACCTCTCACACATTCCTCCCTGTCCTCCTCTCTGTAAATAGTCAGAGTTGCGGTGTGTATCTGTGTTTCTTCTCTCTCGCCCGTGGCCCGCCTCTATATTCGTCGTACGGTCGGGTTATCAGTTTTTAGACAAAGCCCGAGGTTGAGGCTCAATACTCCGCACCCACTTTCGAAAACACTTCAACACCCAAGAAAAGCAAGACGTCCGTGTGATTATTACAGCGTGTGGGACTTGTTACAACCACAAAGCAATCGTAGTAATGATATATTCAAAAATAACTAGAGTGGTGCAAGGAAAAGTGCATGTGTTGTAAAATAGAAGATATACAGTATGTGTTGTAGTGTTACTGATTAAGATGTAAAAACAGCAACATACGTACTGTAGGGTTCCTTTCAGGTAGATAAGTTATAGTAATAGTGGTGATATATTTTAGCAGCAGGAGTAATTGTGGACGCAAGAAGATACAACCAGTGTTGACAGTGATGTAGAAGCGTACTACACAAAACAATCACAATCAGGGACGCAGGGTGTGAGCACAGACGCAATAAACCAACAATCTCCAACTCGAAGGACCCTTGAAACGAACTCTAACCTTAAAAAACAATCCTGGACGATACTACATTTCCTAAATGCATCAAATTCTCTAAAAAAAAGAACGTTAAATGGCCTTAAAGACTCCAAAAACTATCTTGCAAATGATGTAACATTTGGTACATTCAGGACATGACATAGTTACTACATCCTCTCTCACATACACTATCATTCTCTCACACACACACACTACTTATAACCCTCATACATACTACAATCCCTCATCTCACATACACTATCATTCTCTCATCACAGCACACTACTATAACCCTCATACATACTACAATCCCTCTCACATACACTATCATTCTCTCACACACACTACTATACCCTCATACATACTACAATTCCTCTCTCCCATACACTATGATTCTCTCACACACACACTACTAGACCCTCATACATACTACAATCCCTCTCTCACATACACTAGCATTCTCTCACACACACACTACATACCCTCATACATACTACATCCTCTCACATACACTATCATTCTCTCACACACACTACTATACCCTCATACATACTACAATTCCTCTCTCACTACACTATGATCTCTCACACACACACTACTATACCCTCATCACTACTACAATCCCTCTCACATACACTATCATTCTCTCTCACACACACTACTATACCCTCATACATACTACAATTCCTCTCTCACATACACTACGTTATTTTCTTATTCACACCTTGGTACAGTTTGGATGTATGTTAGACATAGCTGGGTACAGACTTGGCCTTTTGGAAACTGGAAGTAACCGTTTTTTTTTTAAATGTTGTGCATTTGTGAGATGTACACTGATGCATATAGTATTTGGTCTTTGGATGTTTGAGCATTGGGATTGGAGAACGTTGGAAAAAATCATGTCTGAGGACAAGAAGGGAGGGAGAAGGAAGGATGTTGGCACACATTGGGGGATCTTTAGTGTGGTTATAGACATTTCAACTTTAAGTTAGTGTTAGTTTAAAGGTGGGGTAGGTAATTCACTTGTTGTTATATTCCATGGAATGCTCTTAACATCCCGATAGCAATGAATATATTAAATGCTTTGACAATAAATACATTAAAAAATGTCATCTGTGGAAGCTGTAGTACTGTAAAAAAGCACGACCAATCATTTTAAGCCGATGGCCTACCTGCCTGTCAGCCTTCCATCTCGTGCACAAATTTATCTCGTGCCCTCATTGGTCATGTGTGCGTTCGTGTGTGTTGGAGGAGGGGCTCTGTAAGGAAGTCTGAAGGA